GCTCAAAATCCACCGAAAATTATAATATTATAAAATCGATTTTCGGCATTTCTAGAGGCTATGAGAACATTTCCAAGACCAATTAAGGTCCAAACCGCTCAGAATACAATTATTCGGATCTCGGCGCATCTCAATCGGCACCATTTAGACCATAACGGATGGCAACACGCAAGCAATAGCTCGAAATCCACCGAAAATTACAATATTATAAAATCGATTTTCGGCATTTCTAGAGGCTATGAGAACATTTCCAGGACCCATTAAGGTCCAAACCGCTCAGAATACAATTATTCGGATCTCGTCGGATCTGAATCATCAACGTTTCGACCTGAACGGATGGGAGCACGCAAGCAATAGCTCAAAATCTACCGAAAATTGTAATATTATAAAATCGATTTTCGGCATTTCTAGAGGCTGTGAAAACATTTGCAAGACCCATTAAGGTCCATACCCCTTTTAACATAATAAATCTTGAAACTTGTACCTTGAGAAACTTGTATTCGGTCCGGTGTATTTGATTATAAGAATATGGAGGAGGAACTACATAAAGTGAAGAAAGCAGAATGGACCGTATTTGGGCTAGCCACTGAACAAATAAGAAATCTGACAGTCCCGTTTAACTTATTCAGCCGCCTTCCTAGCACTCTCTTACGAAGCGATGTTATGGGCTCCTATTTCAACTACGCTAGGAGTTTTGGCATCTGACCAATACTGGGCCTTAATCGTCTTAAGCTCAACCATGACTCGCGATGTCTAGCCAAAATGCGTTCCTCAGAACTTTGGAGTCCCTCCCTTCCATCTAGAAGATCTAAAAAAATACACTCGACGGCAAAAATAGGTGTATTGGACCGGTAATAACAGATGAAAGATGGACGAAAGATGAAAGAAAGAAGAACAGTAAAGTGGACTAAAAGAAAATGTAAGGGTGCTGTTAAGCGATCCAAACTTTGGGCAGACGCCTTCTTGGCTCATGTCAACCATTGATCCGTATCCGCAGATGGAAAGGACTTATGGATTACGTAATATTCCTTGCAGACATCACTATGTTCGAAGCAGAGCAGTACTATGGTCACCGAGAAAGCGAAGAAAAACTGAATAGATGATGAGTTGAGTCCTGCACTACTAAGAATTCACCACATGTAGAAGACACTGAGTATTTGTCTATCCATTCATCATTGCACTGATTGAACAACCACCTGAGGGAGCAATCCTAAACGATCAAGTGTCACAATTCAACTACCTTTGAAACGCTCATTTGCAGATGATTTGGACCAGTTTCTGTAAAAGTTCTACAAACTGTCAATGCATCACATGAAACCTTACATATGTTAGAGATGGTTAGAATACAAGCAAACATGTAACACGAGTAATGTATAAAAGCTAAACAATAAGAGAAGAAATAAAAATCGTGCTGAAACTTAGGCAATAAGAGCTAATTAATCTTCTCGAACAGAAGAAATCAGTAGTATTATTAAAAAATTGTGTGGGTATAGAAAAAAAGCTTTTAAAAAACGTGAAACCACAGCTAGCATTTTGTATCCCAAAGCGCAAGCACTGTGTGGCAAAAAGGACAACAAAGACAGGTATTTCTTTCCATCTCAAGGCAAAAATTAGTAAGGTTACAACTGAAAAAATAACCGCAAAACAAACCATGCGGCTTTCTCAAGCATCTCCGCCTGCTGTTCAGTTTTCTGAGCGAGTTTCTGTGCACCATTCAACACATTATTATCATTTTCCAGCTTGCTTTCCACATGGAGTGCTTCCTGCTTCACTTGGATATATAGTGGGCGCTGATAGAAAATTTCGCTTTCCTACAATCATATGTTAATAAAGTATGGTATTCTACAAAATAACTTATAGCGCTTATGCTGTAGGAAAGAAGAGCAGAATTCTCAAAACGAACACCACATTACTGCACGAAAAATGTGGAAATCGCTAAAATGTCGGAGAAACGATGACAAATGTAAGCATAAGGTTGTTCTTTAAAAGAAAAACCAAGAAAAATCACTCACCTAAGAAGAAATTCCCTTCGCCAATCGAAGGCCATCCGGCTGCGCTCTCTTCACAACTTTCTGCCTCTCACTTACTAATTCTTCAGTCTCACTATAAAGAGAACCGATTTGCAGTCATTCATACAGCTATTGCTATATCTTCGAAACAAGGCATACACAGAGGATAATAGTTTATAAGTCGATGCTTTAGAGCTTCCATTCCATCTACCTCGTTTCTCTTTTGCACTAGTTCTTAATCGGCTTGTTAATCTCGGCGCTCGCAAAGGAAAAACTCAAGTAGAAGAAAGAGTCGTTAACTGTTTTCAGCCAATACTCACCAAGTAATTTTTTATTTTTTGATATTTCTCAGCCTTATCCCGCTTCAACTTGACTTCTCGCTTCTCCTTGGCAATACTTCCTTGCTTGTTCATTTTTTGTAGGACGTCATTTTCCACTTTTCGCAATATTACTTTCAGCCAGTCATATTTTCCTTGAAGTTCACAGAACCTAACAACATTCTATTGTAGCCAGGCACCAAATGCCTGCATCTTCGCAAAATATTCTCAGCTCCATCTTTTAGTTCAGTTGTAATTCGCGTGAGTCAATCAAAGCAACTGAAATGTCATTGGAGAAACAACGAATGAACGTTGCTCACAACGCGATTTCTTCGATCAGAGCTGTACGTTCCTTAGGGCTCTTCATAGCAATAGATTCTATTTGACCGTGCAATTTCAATTCCTCAGAACACAAAAAGTACGCTCCAAGAAATAAAGCAGCTATCGAAGGAATGATCTAAAGGAAACACTGCTGCACAGAAAAGACCTGGAATTTACACAGAAACAATCGATAATAGTCACTACAAAGTAGAAGAACGTAAATTTAAACTTACATAAAAATCCGCGTCAAAAAAACTCATGTTGTAGAAAGTCAGAGCAACACCTGCGAAGAACCTTGTGGGAATCACGAGACATCCAATTTCGTTAAATGTCATGAAAGGAATTCGAAAGCGCATAGATGAAAAGCGGAATGCACATAAAAGATAAATAAAGGATAAAGCTCTCAGCGTTTATCGATCTCTTATCTCGTATCGGAATCTATCCCATGTGCATTGCAGAGAGCCAAAGACCATGGGCCACACGCGCCTGTTGGAATGCACATAAAGAATAAAAGAATAAAGCTTTTGGCGTTCATCAATCCATCACAGATGCGTCATGAATTCGACTTGATGAAGCATCGTTTGGAGGTGATTGAATGCATACCTGACCCTTATAATAACTCGCGGTGGCCTACCGATGTATCGAGCAAGTGCTGCTGTCTTCCTAGACAAGTCTGGTACCAATCTGCCGACCACGTAGAGATGGAAGGTTTGGTGGACCATGGGCGCAGCTATCGACACCGCATTTCCGAAATGCACACACATGCCCAATAACTACGATGAAAAGCAACTTTGGTTAAATATCGAAGAAAACTGAATGAATCAAAATGAGGACAACCTGTCCATCGATGCAGAACTCAGAACTGGCATCAGTTGCTAAACGAGGAATCTTCTCTGACGTCCATCAGCTTTCTCGCAATTTATTGCTACAGAAGAACGACCCGGCACCGATTTGCCTACGGGCGCTGCATGGATGAGATTCTAGACGTAAGCATTAGAAGCTCAAGTGAACAACACATGGTATAAGGTAGGCGATAAAATTTGTCAGTTGAATCCGGCCACTTAATAGGTGAAACTTACTCCTAATTTTCTAACGCGCAAATTCTTGGTTTTTCCAACCTGCACAAAACTAATTCCGTCCATTAAAATTGATTTACCTGCAATCCGACTTAAGAGTTAAAGGGCAAGAAAAGTTCCACATCAACTAGACAAGATCCAATAAACCGAGCAGGGATAAAAAATACTTGCTCTGAACGTTCATACCAGAGCAATTTAGACCAACGATCGCTCCGAATCTCGTGAACGAACCGTCCGCATGTCTTCATCGATACGATTTTAATGTTTCCATCTTCACTGTGTGCAATGCATCTATTATGCAATCTGTTAAAACCTGAAATGATACTTGGATGAGAACCTCCATAAGAAGAGCTGAAGACAGCAGATAAAAGGCCGTAGATGGCAGTTGCACGAACAGATTAATAAAGAAAACATTTATGTATATTCGTGTACACACATATCTTCATGCATACACATAATGCACATATATATATGTATATATACATATGCATATATTTACACGCTGCGTGTACAATCGTATGTACACGTACACATGTGTATGTACAGTTGGCTTGGATCTAATTAAGAACCCCCCGAACGAATCAAATGTTCAAACAAGAAAACATTTACGTGATAATTTTAAATTTGGTAAAAGCGGACCACCCCGCGAGACTTGCAGTTTTTCGGATGAAGAAAGCAGTGGTGCTGGGGCAGATAGTGACAGCATTTTCAAGCTGATATGAAGCGGAACCAAACACTTTTACCAACTGTACTTCTCTTCAGCACACAAATAGTCCTTACTACGGTTATGATATCAGTCAGATAGACACTGAAGACAAATCGACTCCAGTTAATCCGGCTCCGAAGAAGACGAAGACGTAAAGACGCCAGCAGAACTGAAGGTTTCAACAACATCGTCTTCGCTGAATGATTTCATAAGGTATTTCCTATTTGCAGAGAGGTGGAATGGAAGTTGGTTTCAAGAAATGTTAAAAGCAGGGTTATTCTACTGCGTTTATTGAGGAAAAGAAGGAAAGGAATTTAGACTGTACTGCGTCTTTCGTAGTCCACAGATAATAGAACAATTGGTATAAACTTGGATTTCTATAACTTTGATCCCTTTAAACTCCCCGAAACGTCCGGAATTTTGAACTAAGCGACTATTAGAACCAGGTTTAGTTAGTGGACTGTATCATATTCAAAGTGCTTATTATATAGCACTAGTGCATAAAGTGCTATATATACTATATAACACGAAATAAGGATATAAGTAGAAGGATCTCGGCGTTGATCAATCCCAAAGGGATATGCCATGCATTCGACTTCAGTAGGCATCGTTAGAAGTGATTAAATGCAAATCTGGCCTTTACAGTGATTAGCAGTGGTCTACCGATGTATTGAGGCAGTTCTGCCTTTCTGAAGACAAATTTGGTGCAAGTTTGACGACACAAAGGCATGGGAAGGTTGGTGAGGCTAAGGAGGGAGTATTGATCCCATGTGACGCGACGTCTCATCAACTAATTTGTCATTGAATTTCAGGAGAAGGGTTCCAGATATCGGAAGGCTATAAATGTGCCGCATTGGAATAGAATTATCTTGCAAAATAATAAGAATAATAATAAGATTGCAAGAAGAAGGAACTGATGCGGACACTCGGGTCGCCGTAGCTTTGAAGAACGCGTTCCGTCACAATGTTAGCCATAACAAAAATTTGTAACAAACTCGTCCAAGATTGGTAATGAAGCAAGACAACGACAGTCTATTCGTAATACAATGCAAGTCGGCATTCAAATCTTTTTTTCATTTGTTTGGTAAGTGATAAAAAATGTCAATATGGTAAAACCTACTTGATGCGACAGCATTTTGTATCACCGTGGAGCAGTACAAGACGCTTAAACTAAGGCTGTATAGTGTGGACTGCTAGCAGAAAAATGACGAGATGTTAGCAGAACTCGGAACTTTAACTGGGTTTTACGCTCGCCGCTACCATCACCAGGTGTTCACGAGCTGTGTTAAGACACTGTGATTTGTATTGAAGCTTGAGGCTAAACGGGGCCTAATGCCAACCTGGCTCGCAGATCACTATCGCTCACTGGTTAATGCTAGTTGTGTCAACATAGCAGAAAACAAGGTCAACGGAAAGGCAAAACAAGTGTTTCGGTTGGAGTGTTGGATAACCTGTGAGGTTTACGTAAGGTCAGTCGCAGGTTCGAAACCCACTTGGACTCGCGAGTTCTGCTCTCATCTCAGCATCCCTGCAATTGAATCTCGTGTTATAGTCTCCCATGAAGAAAATAATAGGTAGTAAGCAAAAGTTAAAACGCTCGAGGAAGTACCATTTAATTTCTAAAGAAGGGCTAAAATTTCTTAGAGCTGTAGAGCGGCAAAGATTCATGGATTCTAGTGCGTTTTGTTCTAATTAATATAGTTGACTACGAGCTGAAATATATTCTCACGGAGTTGAAACGCTAAGTTACTTCCAGTCATCTTTGGACCACATCGGATAGCTTCAATCGAGGTTGTGGCAGTCACATCTACATCATTTAGAAATATTGCGCAAGTGCCGTCATACGTGTTAAAGATGAAAGTCGATTCATTTGTGGCTCTTCTAGGGTTTATTTATGTAATAAAAGGACTACTTTAAAAGTTTCACATTTTCTTTGTTGTAAAATGAAAAAAAGTAAAGTGATTCGGTAGAACCAAAAACGAAATAAGAGCGGCCTAAACAGCTGTTGTGATCCAGAAATAAACACACTGCTAAGCGTATTGCGTTTTTCATGAGCTCACGCAAGATTGGCAAAGTAACGTCCACATCAGTTTTCGCTCAACTTTAGTAGGTGGTTAGAAAGATATTAAAGAAAACGAAAGAAATTCTCTGAAAAACTGACCACTCTGAAATATTGTGTCAACGATTTCGTGCCAGCTCACGAGGAACATAGTGAATAGTAAATTGACGGTTTTGCCTAGATCATATCGTTGTTGCCCCAAAATTCTATACGTGATCACGCAATCACCTCTTTCGTGCATGATTTCATTTCTCGCTGAGCTTATGAAAAGCTGCTAAATTCAAAAAACTCGGGCTCATACTTCAGCACGTAATCGTGCCAGCTGTAGATAACGGCCAACTCACGCCCGAACTTGCAATACAATGCAGACAAACGATAAAAGAAGATCTTAATGAGAGAAGAGCAGCAGTTGTCATCGAAGCTGCACAGTCTGGGATAAGCCTTTGCAAGGCGAAACGGACACCTCGCCAATAACAAAACCAAGATGGTTGCATTTCGACGCCTAAACGGAACAGTTACAGCGTCTAGAAAGACAATGGAGTGAATCATTCAAATACCGCTACTCAGATTTCTTCACTAGCCGCGTCCACCCGCTTTCATATGAAGCAAAAAAGGTTGAACATCTTGTGAGGAAGGTAGGTAGCACAGTGGTAATGATGTCCGTCGTCACGAGCACGGTGCTGGTTCGATACCGCTCAGCCAGGCCTCTCGTACCTCCGGTGTCGGGAAATTGGCACATAACTTGTTTGGGAAGAAAACCACTCTTTGCAATCAAATTGGGAATGCTCCAACCCGGGTATTTCAGAATTCCAGGAAATACTCGAACAGCATTCTACTTCATTCTTTAAGATGAAAAGGAAATCCTCAAGCACTAATCGAAGCCACACGTATGAGTTGGAAGGTCTTCGTCGATAATGAATGCGTGGAAACGATTCAATATTGGAATTGCTGAGATCGCCACAGTAGACTTGAAGGCGGGTCAAATAAAATGAAAAAAATATGTCGTACCACTGGCTGTCTTTTCGGAAACCCGACTTGCCATTTCATCGATGAAAAATCGAACAGAATCGGGTCAGGACGCGATGACATCTCACAGGACACCCGAACATCTGAAGAACATTCCGCAAGTCCTCATAAACACAACGTCTCGGTTCTTCACATGTTGCCCCTGTAAATGCAAGCGCCGAATCAGTGGAAGACCATTAAGATCGTGCCATTGTTCAAAAGGAGTGACCTCCACGATGTCGGCATCGATCACGCAATCAACATGCTTTCTGCCGTCAATAGAGTTTTCACTCCTATAATCTTGAACAAGATTGACAGAACACTAGACGAAGAACAGCTATGTGAGAAAGCAGAAGGAAAGAATTTAGTACAGTGGACCACATTCACACAATAGCAAGACTTACTTCAGCGTCGCCAGGGTACAGAAGACCGCTCTCTTTCACTTTCATCGATTTCGAGAAAGCCATCGATGTGACACAACTGCGACAGAAGCAGTCATGAAAGCCGTGG